TATTAATTTATTATGTATGGATTTAATTAATAGAATTTAATGGTGAGAATAAATAAAGATGGCCTTAAATATATGATTCAATGAAGTTGAATGCAAATTAATAACTTAAGTGTTGGATTTAATGAAAGGAAATTGAATGCATCAAATATCTTACAATTGTCTATTTTCAACTCATTTAATATTAATAATTAATTACTCTTTTACCCTCATTTTTATCAATAAATTTTAATACAAAATGGAAAATTTTGTCCTCAAACAATTTCAGAAAGACTATTCGTGCTTTTCAAAGTAGTATATATATAGTTTGGTATATAAACTATGGTTGGTCGCTAACCAAATGAAAGGACAAATTGAATGTTTTCCTTAAAAAAACAAAAGTCAAGCAAACACCAAATATAGCAAATTTTAGGAAGTAATCAATTCTCTTCAATTTTATGTGCAGCAGAATAGAGCCATATATTTATGGAAAATCTCCATCTTAAAACAACAAACCCAAGAAACAAAAAGGGTCTTTGGATGGCTAAAGTGTGATATGTCAACTAACAGCGCTATACAGGGGCAGAGCCATGGCCCTCCTTATGGTTCAAAAAATCCCCACTGAAAAATAGCTTTCCATGTAATTTTTCTCCTCTCCCCACTCCCCATATCAATGGCTGGCCCCCCTAATGGGCTTATCCATACTTCATTTATGTTTTAGCCCCCCTTATAACAATTTTCTGGCTCTTCCCCCGGCGCTACACCTGTCTTGCTTTATATCCTTTAATAAGTAAGTGAGAACTTGAGATCCCTTGCATGTATAGACTCCAGATCTCCTGTCCATGTCTACCCACAACACACTAATTCCATGCATTGGGAGCATCTCTCCATGCATAATACTTTGTAGGAGGATGAGATATTCCTCATGTGTGACTGCAATGTTATGTAGGTAGACGTGAGCAGGAGATCCAGACTTGTATGCTATGTATCAACTAATATAGGTAGATCTTTTCACGGGCCAGGCTTCGGACTCGGCCCATGAACATTTTACATTGTCTCAAGCTTGGGGTTTAGGATGGGTTCATTCAGAAGTTGACAAAAACTCAACCCAAGCCCGACTCATGAACATGTCTAGATATAGTCATTGGCCAAACTCTATAATGTATTAGATTCTAATACTATTCTTTAATCCAAATAGTGGTAAAGGAGGAGAATATAATATTCCTGTACTTGATAAGATTCAAAATAAGGATAAAAAGTTAAAGAGAAGGAACATCTACCAAGTTAAGATGGCCAAGGAAAATACAAGTTGGGTAAATTCTTGAATGCAAGCTCACTTGTAGAATCTTTAAGGGTTGCTCTCAAGATTTATATCCAATTAACAAATTAGTTCATATATGACTTGAATTCATTTTTACCGAAAATTATGTGCGTTCCTTAGAAAAAAATCATATTTGTATTATTTTAATTGTGATAATTCAAAAGTTTAGCATCTTCCTTTCTTTCATTCTTGTTTTCAGTCAAGGATTCCAAAAAATGCTTTACTTAAGTGGTACTGTTGTAATTTTTAAATAGATTGATTGAACATTTTGATCTCTATTTCTACAGGAACATACAAAAAGCCGATAGCAATATTAAGGCCCCGTTAGGTTTATAGGAATAGGGGTTTAGAGTTGAACTGTTTGGTTGGGTGGAATCGGAATCCTATATCCATTCCTGCTGTAATGACATTTCCCCATTTGAGGGAATGGTCATTTTCTATCCATCCTTTGGGAATGAAATCTCATTCCTGCTGATTACAATTCCCATTCTCATTCCTGTCTGAATCGAACAGAATATGAGAATAGACCATTCCAATTCCAATTTCTATTCCGACTGCAAACCAAACAGGCCTTAAGGGTATATTTGGTTAGAAAGAAAAATGCAAACCTCCTTGTGTGGGTATGCATACTTGATGTAGTAATAATCTGAGTCTATATAAAATCTTTGTTATTACTAGGAGACCCATTGCAAGCAAAATGTAGACGCAAAGTGTGGATGAATCAAAACCTAATCCAATCGTATTCCAAAGTCCATACAATGCCTTGGTTGATGAATACAAAGACGATACCAACTGAGTCATACTTATCTTATCATCCAATCATACCACATACATTGTGTACCTTAGGCTCAGTTTGGAAGGAGTACAAATACAAATATGTACGACACAAAATCTTGTATATTTATATGTATTTACATCATACATGTTTGCATTTATACTCTTTCCAAACTGAGCCTTAATTGGACCGATCTTCTTTTGGCAAGCGCCAAGCAGTAAAGATGTTGGAATGAGATTCGCCACTTGTCCCGCAAGTAGCAAAGGAAAGGTTAAAAGTCTGAAAAAATATCAGACACGTGTATTTATCAGTGTTGGTTTTATTCTATTGAAAACAAGAACAACTGTCATGTAAGTAAAATTATATAATTTTTTGGTGACGTGGGAGTATTTTAAACAAAGCCAACCATGTTGTCCAACACCTCCTAAGATTAAAAAAAGAAAAAATCAGCCAATATCATATGGTTTTTGTTTTCAAAAAACAAACTAATCATGTTGTCAAATACCCCCTAATATATCAAATTTATAACCCCAATTTATTTATAATCAATCAACCATTATCATAGAAGTGATAACTAATTAGGAGATATTTATCAAAATTTGATTGGTCAAAAATCTTCTGGTATAATGTATTTTTAACATCATAGATTGTCAATGGTGGAGTTAATAATTTTCTTTCGAGGGATCAAGTTATATAGATTTTTTTTTGGTTTATGACAATGAAAATTATATTAAATCAATTACATTGTAGAGGTTTACAGCAAAAACAATACAATCATTGTTACAGCAAGTTTTAAATGCATAAATGATAAAGAGGGTGAGAAGACTGTCATATCATTTGGTTATAGGCTTTGTGGCAAATCCCAAACCCCGTAAGTATTACTTCATTCCTAATGTAAATGAATTACTTTTACCATGGTTTTTATTAGCAAAAACAAGAAAAAAGAGATAGAGAATAAATGAAGTAGGGTTTAGAATGAAATAGAGTGTAAGGGTTTGGGTCTACTATGGTTTTTTATGAAAGAAAAAATAAATATATTTTTTCTAATTATGAGAATTAAGTGGATAGGCATTAGAGAGTTAAAAAACAGTCCTTAATATTTTAATAGGATTCTTTTTTATTTTTTATTTTTTAAATGAAAGGGGGGAGGGGAGAGGGGAGAGGGAAAGGACCCACTTTGTTATATCTCCACCGCAGCTTTTCAAACCACTAATTATAGGGGGGGGGACCCCAACTTTATAATTGGATCCACCCCTAACTACAGTCAAGTTATTAAAAATGCCACGCCTTACTGCTTATTTACCAAAGCTTGAACCTTGGGTTTAGACTAGAGTTTGGATTCTGAGGTAGAACCATGACTTCAACTAATTCAAGGCCTTTGGTGCATTATGAATCATGGCCTTTGATGCATTGTTTGTAACCCCATCATGACTTCAACTAATTCAAGGTGGAGTAGGCTCTAAATTTGTGGTTTTTAATGCATCACTAAAATAACTTGTTTGATTCAGTTTCAAGGCCTGCATGGGTTCTAAGTTAGGGTTGACTGTAAGGCCTCGCTCGTTTATTAGTAAATAAGAGGGGATAACTTGGGTGTCGTTTGGCAAGTTGTCTTTTTTGAAAAATTTTATGGAAGATTTTATAGCTAAAAGATATAATGGGCTTTTTACATAAAGTTCTTGTCAGTCCATATATTGTTTGGTTGGAGATGCATCTTTTCGCACATATTTCCATGTGAAGACAAGACGAAAAAAGTGAAAAAATCTCTATTTGGAGTTTCTTAAAAATAGTCTAAAATGGGTTTTCCGCATCTTTTCGAGGTGGAGTCTTTTGGTGACTAGATCTTCTTCCAGCCAAATGAGAAAAGACAAAAATGCAGTTTACTAAGCTTCTAAACAGTCGATAGCCCGTGCAAAAATACGCACCAAATGAGGCCTTAGTTAATGGGTATTTCTTTCCCATTGACCAATTTTACATTGTTTTTGCATTAAGTATTGGGCCCCATGACAAACAAAACTTCATTAATCCAGGTAAAACTTGCCCATCTCCCAAGTAGATAAGTAATTTTCTCACATGGGGGATAAGCTTATAAAACATGATGAGACATGTTTTCTCTTTTTAACAGGTAAAAAAAAAAAGAAATCAAAAGAACATAGGAAAATGAACTTACTTGAGTAAGTGTTACCCAAGAATAACTTGTTCATAAACCAGGCTTGGGTTTGGCTTTTGCCAAAATTTGAATGGGCCTGGCCCAAAACGCAAATACAACACAGTGCAAAGTAAAACCTGAGCCTTGCCAGTGAATAGGTCTACCCAAGAAACATTTACGTAGATAAGTGAGAAATTTGTAATGGGCCCTAAAATAAAATCCAAATCCGACAATGATATTGAAAATGCATGATATTTGAATAATAAGCCATTAAAATCAATTAATCGGAATCATTTAGGTTATGTTTAATTTGAAGGAAAAAGTAGGAAAATGAAGAAAAAGATAGAAAAACTTATCGAAAATGGTGATGAGCCCGATATAGATTTATAGATATTTATGTAACCCAGGAAGGTTATTATGGTGATCGAGGATTGAAACGTGTTTTGTTCGAACTCCAAGATTCTAGAGTTCTCAATTTCCACTTTCCCATCCATGTCCAGCAACCTACCAATGATCAGGAGATAATATCTAATTAATATATATTTATATATTTTTATTTGAGTATTTAGTATTTCTAGGGAAATTTGGACTCGGAGTCTACTTCCATCTTCGTAATCGTAGACCCAGAAAGCGCAACAGTGGGACCTAGTCTTCTAATCTTACGGTGGTTTGTCCAATCTAATCCGAATCAGAGAACCAGATGGACTAGATGGTGAACAGAAAAGAAAAGAAAAGTACAAAAGTAGAAGCGAAATCTCTCTTTCTTCGGAAACACGAAATAAGGTCGGATATTATAAATACCCGAACCATTGTTCAGATCTCCCCCACCTTATTTTCTTCGTTGTTCATCGATTTCTCCTCTACTTATCTTCTCTCGCAGAGTCTCCCTTCCTCGAATTTCCAAAATGAGTAACCAAGCTGAATCCTCTGACTCGTAAGACTTCTTCTATCTCTGATCTCTTGTTTTTTTTTTGTGCGTTTTCCACTTTCATTTTGGGATTTCGGTTGGATTTTTGCGTTCTAATGTTGGGTTTTCTGAATTACATACAGCAAGGGAACCAAGAGGGATTTCAGTACTGCTATTCTGGAGCGCAAGAAGGCTCCGAATCGGCTTGTCGTCGATGAGGCCACTAACGATGACAATTCCGTCGTGTCGATGCACCCTGAGACAATGGAAAAGCTGCAGCTTTTCCGTGGCGACACGATCCTCATTAAGGTTAAATTTCTAGCAACGTTCTTTCTAGTTTTGGTTCTTATTAATGGTTTGGTTCTTAGGGTTCTGGGTTGGTAAAAGTTTTGAACTCAGGCGTTTATATTGTGTGTGTAAATTTTGGCTCGAGGATGGTTAAGGGTTTCTTGAACAAGATGATTTTTATGTTAGGGTTGCTGAAAAATAGGGGTTTTGAGGTTTGCCAGTTCTATCAAAGTGTTTCGTATTCAAGGAAATTGATTGTAGAAGGTTTCCGGGAGTTGAGATGTAGCTGTAGGGATTGTGGTGGAAATCATGTTGGGTACTTAAGATCTATGGGCAGGTTTGTGTTTTAGGTTCTCTGAAATTTCATCATTCCATTGATGCTTTTTAGTTTTTAGTCTTCCTTTAATTATGTGGGTTTGCAAGGTTTCTTATTAGATATTATTAAGGGTTTCAAAATAGTTAGATAATGTAATGTATTGCAAGAGTTGCATTTTGGGTTTCTAGAGTTTTAGTGGATGTCAATTAGGTATCATGTACCTTAGAATTTTCCCCATTTAATATACAATACGGCTAGCTTTCTTAGAGGGCGATGGGTTTTATTAAAATGCTTTTGGAATCTGGGTTAAAGAGATATGCTGATAAACTTTACGTTTTTGCTTGTTTATGTCTTCAGGGTAAGAAAAGGAGGGATACAATCTGTATAGCCCTTGCTGACGACACATGTGATGAACCGAAGATTAGGATGAATAAAGTCGTCAGATCAAACCTGAGGGTTAGACTTGGTGACGTTGTTTCTGTGCACCAATGCCCGGACGTCAAATATGGGAAACGTGTGCACATACTCCCTGTGGATGACACCATTGAAGGAGTGACTGGCAATCTGTTCGATGCATATCTGAAGCGTGAGTTTCTGAACTGTGTGCATGCACCTGCTCTTCCTTCTGTTCTTTATCTCTAGTCTGTTGCCATGGACATTTCGCTTTTTCTCAGTGTAATCATTGTTTTGAGTAACATTGGGCTTCTTATTGTTAAAAGAACTAGATTTAGAAGCAAACCATTTGAGTGATGTGCAGTTTAGCCGGAAGATGGATGTACTAGTGAACTAAGCTAGTATGATCTCATTCTTATGGTGTGATGTTAAGTTGGTTCTCCATTAGTGAGGATTTTGATTAAAAGCTTCAGTTTTGGTGCCTGGTCTGTGTTTTCCTGTTTCTATTTGAGATTAACACAAGAAATGTCTCTTCAAGCCTTATTGACTGTAGTTGATAAACATCCTCTTTGTTGACATTGTATCATCTGTCAAATGAAATTCTCTTGTTATGTTTTTCTGCCTCGTCACAAGGACAAAAGGTTTGCTGGTTTATTTAGTTCCCTCAAGTGAAAAAAAACTAGTTTTTCTGATTTGAGATGTTACATTTGCAGCTTATTTCTTAGAAGCATATCGCCCAGTCAGGAAAGGGGATCTCTTCATTGTTAGAGGTGGGATGAGGAGTGTTGAATTTAAGGTAATTGAGACTGACCCGGCAGAGTATTGTGTCGTTGCCCCAGACACAGAGATATTTTGTGAAGGAGAGCCAGTGAAAAGGGAGGATGAAGATAGGTTGGATGAAGTCGGTTATGATGATGTTGGTGGAGTGAGGAAACAGATGGCTCAAATACGAGAACTAGTAGAACTTCCATTGAGACACCCACAGCTTTTCAAGTCTATTGGTGTGAAACCACCAAAGGGCATTTTATTGTATGGACCTCCCGGTTCTGGGAAGACATTGATAGCTAGGGCTGTTGCTAATGAGACTGGTGCTTTCTTCTTCTGTATTAATGGCCCAGAAATTATGTCTAAACTAGCTGGGGAGAGTGAAAGTAATCTTAGGAAGGCATTTGAAGAAGCTGAGAAGAATGCACCATCTATCATCTTCATTGATGAAATTGATTCCATAGCTCCTAAACGAGAGAAAACGCATGGTGAGGTTGAACGTCGGATTGTTTCCCAGCTCTTGACGCTTATGGATGGTTTGAAGTCCCGTGCTCATGTTATCGTTATTGGGGCTACAAATAGGCCTAACAGCATTGATCCCGCTCTGAGAAGGTTTGGAAGGTTTGATAGGGAAATTGATATTGGTGTTCCAGATGAAGTTGGGCGACTGGAGGTTCTTCGCATTCACACAAAGAACATGAAGCTCTCTGAAGATGTAAACTCGGGATCTATCCTTGTTTGGCATTTCCTTTTCTTGTTTGTATCTGTCCAACTGTTTTATTTAATTGTTGTCCTGGCTCCTTTGTGCAGGTTGATTTGGAAAGGATTGCAAAGGACACTCATGGGTATGTTGGTGCTGATCTTGCAGCTCTATGCACTGAAGCTGCTCTTCAGTGCATCAGAGAAAAAATGGATGTGATTGACTTGGAAGATGAAACGATAGATGCTGAGATACTTAACTCTATGGCTGTTACGAATGAGCATTTCATGACTGCTCTTGGGTCAAGCAATCCCTCTGCTTTACGTGAAACGGTAACTATGCAATTTCTAAGTAACTTGGTCTAAGTTTCTATTTTGATGTACATGTTCTTGTTTTAGTAGCATTCTTAACTTGAATTTTTGATGAGCCAGGTTGTTGAAGTGCCCAATGTCACTTGGGGTGACATTGGTGGCCTTGAAAATGTCAAGAGGGAGCTTCAAGAGGTAATTGAGAATTTAACATTGGGCCTAGAATGGTTCCTTTTTGCAATTGTACTATGGGATTCTAATTGATTTTGCATATACTGCTTTTTAGACTGTTCAATATCCTGTTGAGCATCCTGAGAAGTTTGAGAAGTTTGGTATGTCACCATCAAAAGGAGTTCTTTTCTATGGCCCCCCTGGTTGTGGGAAAACCCTCCTTGCTAAGGCAATTGCAAATGAATGCCAAGCAAACTTCATCAGTGTCAAGGGTCCAGAGTTGCTCACCATGTGGTTTGGAGAGAGTGAGGCTAATGTACGAGAAATCTTTGACAAGGCCCGCCAATCTGCACCTTGTGTCCTCTTTTTTGATGAGCTTGATTCCATTGCTACACAGGTTTGGCTTTCCTTCAATGTATCTATTTTTTAATTATATTTGACTTGGCTGATTGTGTTGCATTTTGGCCATTTGCATGTATATATTTATTCTTTTATTATGTATGGCAGAGGGGAAGCAGTATTGGAGATGCAGGAGGTGCTGCTGATAGGGTTCTGAACCAACTCCTGACTGAAATGGATGGCATGTCTGCAAAGAAGACGGTCTTTATAATTGGTGCCACCAATAGGCCTGATATCATTGATCCTGCACTCTTAAGGCCAGGCCGTCTTGATCAATTGATCTACATCCCGCTGCCAGATGAGAACTCTCGATACCAGATCTTCAAGGCCTGTTTGAGAAAATCACCTGTTGCTAAAGATGTGGACCTCAGGGCTCTTGCCAAGTATACTCAAGGATTTAGCGGAGCTGATATTACAGAGATATGCCAGCGGGCATGCAAATATGCCATTAGAGAGAACATTGAGAAAGTAAGCTTCTTCCCTCTGTCCTTAACGTTTTACCTTGAGAGACATGTACTTAATGTTTGAGCACATGGATGGGCATACTAGATGCATTCATGCTTGGTGTCACAAGCATTGTGTACAATTCCTCTTTATATTCATCCAACTTCTGAGTTCTGTTAAGATAAAAGGTAATTGTGTACAAGCAAAAGAGAAGATTGATGAACCTCTGTTGGTTGTTGATCCTACTTGGTGCCACAACGATTATTTGGATGAGATTCACTATGCATTCTTCAGAAGTGCAGAGCCCCATCTGGATCTGTCTATTGAAATTCACTTGCCTGTAATTATTATCTATAGATCATGTAATTATTATCAAGTGTCTGGAGACTAGAGGGATCAAATGATAATGATTGGTTTGGTTTGGTTTGGTTTATCCAGGATATAGAAAGGGAGAAGAGGAGAAGGGAGAACCCCGAGGCAATGGAAGAGGATGTGGAAGATGAAGTGTCTGAGATCAAGGCAGCTCACTTTGAGGAGTCAATGAAGTATGCACGTAGGAGTGTGAGTGATGCAGATATCCGCAAGTACCAGGCATTTGCACAGACATTGCAGCAGTCAAGGGGTTTTGGCACTGAGTTTCGTTTCTCGGAGGCTGGAACTGGTGCTACTGGGTCTGATGCATTTGCAACTTCTGCTGGTGTGGCCGACGAAGATGATCTCTACAGTTAAGATCTTTTGTTTGTTACTTTGTTTTATAACCTACGTTACTATACGCTGATGTTATGTGCATCTAATGGGGGGGGGGGGGGGTTAAAGCTTTACGGGGTAGGGACACTGGGTGTCTCCAGTTTAAAACTCGTATTTATATTTTTTGTTGTTATTATAACAATAGAGATGGGGAATTGAGGGTTGGCCATTTCTTCTGGGGCCAGCCATCTTAATTCCGAATTCATCAACAATTGCTTTTAAGGAAAGAATCATGTGGTTGATATTTTCTGGTTAAAATCCATCTAGTATTTGTGCCAATAAAACTTGAATTCTGGTGGTATACAGTATACTTACTGCATGTGGAAACTTTGCTTATATTTCCTTTGTCATCAGAGTTCATAGATGCTCCTCTTCATATTTAGCAATGTTCAATTCGGAGGGTTCGCATAAATAATGCTTCTCAGAAGACAGAACTTGCCCCAAATGGGTTTCTGCGTCAGAACTCAGAAGGGTAGGGGTTTGTTGGTCAATAACTATAATTTAATGATTGATCTCATCGTCTTATTAATGTTGGATGATAATAATAATAGTCGGTCACTGCACTTTTGGGGTTTTGAACTTTTGGATTCCGTAACTTTGGTCGTTAAATCTTTCCATTGAGGATTGCTCAAACACCAAATTACCTTTTTTTTTTTGTTATTTTGGTACACACCATTTTTCTCTTTTATCATAGTCATTTAAAGATCCTTACTTTCACATATTTCTCTTTCTTTCAGAAAAGAAACACTTTAAATTGTGTTTTAGAATGGTTTTTTATTTGTCTTCATCATTTTGATATTTTATTATTGTTAGCCCATGGAATAATGGGTGGGCAATTTAATAATTTACTTTCATCATTAATCCTGTTACCGGGAACAAAGCGCTGAATCTAAGAAGTTGAGGGGGTATTTGTTACAAAAGTTTGGAGTTATAAGGCTCTTTGGAAAAAATATAAATATAAATTCATTGGTAGAGTATAAAACCTTATATTTTGTATTATATATATATATGTATTTATACTCTTTTTAAACTGCTAAGTATAATTTACCCTAATAATACAGTCAAATAGTTAGGACGACTGTAAATTGTGATATTGTAAGATTGGTTGTGCGATTTATTTTTATTTAACACTTCTCAAAGAGTTTATTTATTATATTTTACTTTTTTACGCTCATTAAGTGTGGAATGAAGTGGAGGGTCCGTTGGCACGTTAGCTGGGCACTATCAGCAGAAATGCGGATTCAAGTCCTGTTATTACAAGGTCGGCTTTGGTCAGGGCAAGCCCGTGCTCACACCTTCCCAACAGCCCCTTTCAGGGAATATCTCTTCGTGAAAGTAACCCTACTGTTTTAGTATTGTCCTAAAAGTAACCCTACTGTTTCTAACAATTGACTAAATATTTCTTTCCATCAATGTTCGTTAAGATAATGATTAAAAAGATTATTTTGCACATCATTTTCTTTAAATTTTTAAAATGAAAATTTTGACACTTTTTTCAGATTACCGAGGCTTATCTTCCTTACCGTTAGTGTCTTAAATTACTCCTATGGTTCTTCTTCATCTTCCTTGGTCTGTGTTTGCTGCCCAAGTTCAGATCTGGGTTCCTTGATCTAAGAAACTGTTTCAGATTTTAGCGGGATGCGTGTATCCATGATGAATCAGTAACTTCGTCTCCGTTTCTAATATTTTACGTGATGATCTCTGATCCTGCAATTGTTGATAATCCAGATCTCTTGTGCTTTCAATTGCCCCCAAGTTCACGACGTTGCAGACTCTGACATTGCACCAAAATAAACCACAACTTGACGATAGTGCTGTTGAGACAATTGCCAACTGCTGTCATAACCTGCATTGCGCCAAAATAATTGGGTTCGTTGGTAAGGTTATCAGTTTTCAATGTTTCTAATAATCGGCTTTTGGAGCCCATCCCTCCTTTGTTGGGGAACCAAACTGGGAATCTTCCCCAGTTCATTTAAAGGAAACAAGGACATTTATGGCTACCCATTGCCGCCGTTGAAGACAAAAGGGTTGTCCATGATGGAGATTGTTGGAATCGGTTTGGGGAGTGGGTTCTTGAGCTTGGTGCTTAGTTTTACTACTATCTGTATTTGGTTGAGGGTTACAGAGTAGGAGATGGCCTGTGAAGAGGGGAAGTTAACTAATGCCTGGTTATTAAAATACATTAGTTGAAAGATGTAAAAGAAAAATTTCAGGTATGATTGAATGAACCCATCATCGGTTGAGTTAGGTAACTAGAAAGACAGAGGACGCGAGTTCTTTTTCTGGGTTTTGACATTTTATTGTTGCGATTTCACCATCTTTGGAGCCTTTAACCATTTGTATTTTTCTTGATTTTATTTTACTCAAAAAATGCAAACGAATTTAAATAGGGATTGCATACGTTCACCCATCTCCCATTCGAACAGTGTAATTTATTGACTCTCTCTATTTATTGCTTTACAAATTACAATAGTTCATCACTGCTATCATGACAGAGCCTCGTAGGTATTGACTCTTCAAGAACCGTAGTGGAGCCCGCAAGGCACTCAAGCAGTCTCACAAGGGGATTGGCAAACTTGGATTTCAACTCGTCATCATTTCACTAGAGAGAGAGGGGCCGGAGGTGTAGATGATGAAATAGGGGAGAGAGAACGAAGGGGAAGAAGAAGGAGAGAGAGAGGCCGGAGGTGGAGGGGTCTGCTAGCGGCAGTGATGAAACAGGGGAGATAACGAAGGGGAAGGAAAGAGAAAGAGAGTGAATGGTAAAATTAGGTTTTAAAAAACTTATCCATCACAGTGTTACATGTGTATGGAATTTGACGGAATATTAACGAATAATAATGGTAACTAAGGGTAGAGTTAGTCAATTATTAGAAACAATAGGGATACTTTAAGACAATACTGTAACAGTAAGGATATAGTTAGTCAATTTCTTAAACCTTAAGGATAGTTTAAGAAAAAAAAGAAGTGGAGGATGATTTGGGCTGGTCCCGATCCAATAAGGATACTTCAGAGTCCGAACTAGGGGTGTCAATCGGCTAGTCCATTTACATTTTAATGGACTTTGCCATTTTAATATGCTTTTATAATTTTTATACGTTTTGTTTTTTATATATAATTTTTGATATTTCATTCGGTTTGGATTGGATCCAATCCAGTCAGTCCATTTACATTTTAATGGATTGGATTGGATTGAATTTAATTTGTATTAAATTTGGACTGGATTGGATCCAATCCATTTGTAAGTGAACTCACATTGGATTGAATCGGATTGGACCAAATCCAGTCCAATTGACATCTCTAGTCCGAACCTTGACCCCATTCAGTCTGTAGCCAGGCCTAGAACCTGATAGTTGGACAATTTTATCTGATAAACCTGATAAATGGCAAAGTCTAGAAATATTAGAACGAGATGGGTCTAAAAAGCTAGGGCTCATCTTTGCCATCTATATACATGATTTACAATAATACACTTAGAGGGTCTAAGTACCAGCGGAAAGCATTACACTTAAATATTGGCCAACACTGCTTTAGTCGGATCAGATCTTTGTCAGTCCAGGACAAAGTGGACCTGATCCCAACCTAATTATTATGGGTTTTCAAAAAATTAGATCAGAACAACCAACCCACAGGAACAAGGGACTGTCATAGAGTCCGAGAGGTTCGGGTTTGTTGGGTTTACCCAACACTCATAGACAGCTCTGGCCTCTGTAGACTAGCATGCCAAATAGTGCTCTTTTCTCTCTCTCTCGATCTGTTTTATTTCCTCGTATACAAGTAATACAATAGCCGAGAAATCAGGATCTGTGACAGAGCAAGGTCGTGAGGGACTAAGGTGTGTCTGTACTCTTGGAAACCAACTCTCGGATTACCGTGGCCATCGGCCAGAGACTGGAGTTGGTATTATTGGGCTGGTTGTGTTGTGCCTGCACTCCCTGGGCCTTGACTTGGGGCCTTGTCCTTTAGTTGGCCCTGCTTTATTAGTGATAAAGTCCTTTGGGGGGTCAGGACTCAGTTTTCAGTAACAGCCCTTCTTTTGGTAGATGTTCATTCTTTGCAGTAACGAGCGAGTTCACATCATCGCCCCACGATACCCCACAGTACGTCCGGGCCTTATATCCCGATGACAAGTGCAGAAGATGATGAAACAATAGACATCAACGGGAGATGTTCCCAGTACAAGGCCGAGATGTGCTTCAGGGCATTGTGGGGTGCCCCTTTGTGGGGCGCAGATGTAAACTCGTAACAGGCTCCGATCTGCTACTCACTTGCTGTTCCCACATCTTTACTCACGTCACGTTACAACTGTGCACAAAGAATATCTTTCTTGCCATTCATGAAGAGGTGTTCTCAATACAAGGTGATGATACTGTGTGGGTGATGCGAAAACAATTTATGGGTAGCAGATTTGGGCCTACTCTACATCCAATGATGGTGTTGTTGTGGTGGTTGGCCTCCTCTACATATATTTGCTTCATTATCACTGTTATCATCTGTTTGGGTGATGTTGTACTGCCAGCTTCTTTTTATGCAAAAATTGTGTATCATGCCATTCAGATGGGCGTGTGCGATGCACTTGATTTAAAAGTGTTTTAACTCATGGGTGATACACCTGGTTTAAAAATGTTTTAACTTTGAAGAAATGAGTCAGGACTTCTCTAAAAAGGGTATTAACTTTCGAAAGTGACCAAGGTTATGTTTGATTTCGTGGGAGTTTATTGAAAATATGCCACTACATCAGTATCACATGAGCATTGGTGTTTATTGTACATGAAACCACTGTTTGGTTTCAATGTAATCAAATAAACATTAAAAAACAGAAATGCTTGAATTTGTGAATATGGTATTGTGGGAAATTTCAAATTCTTATTTTTCCCAATGCCCCGATATTTATTTAAATGAAATGCTTATGTAGTGCACTTTAAATTGGGTGGACAGTAACTTTATGGGGTATTACTTGAAACACCTATGAAACACTCAACCAACCAATAAACACAATAAACATTTAAGTATTTTCTTAATCCACAGGTCTGCCATAAGACAATGTGAAGTGAAGAAAAATCCAGGAGGTAGAAGACTACATTCTACATGACCTAGTAGGTCTACTATTCTAGTTTCTGTTTTGTCCCATACAGAGTAAATAGCGACCTCTGAAATTGCTACATTGTAATATGACACATCTATGGATGGCCATTTCAGCTGGTCACACTGCCAATCTAAATGAACTAAACTTTCTGATTGGATACCAAAGTATCAGTCTGTACATCAGAATGATTCTTTTGCCACGTGGCTTGGGCTACT